CAGGGCTGAAGAACTTACTGAAGACTCACTGCAAAAAAAAAAAGAATTACAATCTAGGCATCCACGCTCATGTGCCTTCCATCAACCACACTGTCCTTTGGGAATAAACACACCACTCACTTTTGGGCAAATCATAAGGTTTCCCTGTGCCTCAGTTTCCTCACTGGCAAAATGGGAGGGGCATAACAAACATCTTGGGGTTTGCATCTCCCACATTCAATATTCTATGATTCTACTATATTGTGTCAAAAAAAAATTACAAGAGCCCTAGCCGGTTGCTCAGTGGTTAGAGCTCAGTGAACTGGAGGGTCGCAGGTTCGATTCCGGTCAAGGGCACATACTTCAGTTGCAGACTCAATTGCCAGGCCCAGTAAGGGCACATGTGGGAGGCAAAGAATGGATGTGTCTCTCTCATATCAATGTTTCTCTCTGTCTCTCCCTCTCCCTCCCACTCTCTCTAAAAATCAATGGAAAAAATATCCTTGCGTGAGGATTAACAACAACAAAAATTACAGGACAGAGAAAAAAAAATAAATGAAGTGTTTGGATTTTGCTAACACACCAAAATGTTTGCATGGTGTTTGTTTTACAGTTCTGAGTGCACACATCCCATATGTGCCTCCTGGTGACAGGGAGAAAAATCCCAAAGCATAATCTCTAGAGTTTGATGTCTTTCACAGAATAATAAATTCATTCTGGAACGGCAGGGAACATGGTGTTCTGTTCAAGCAAATACTAGATTGCATGCCATGCATAGATGATCAGCATTGGAGAATCGGGATACAGTGAAGCACACTGTTCCCATCATAACTCAATTTTCCTCGGTAATTCAGAGCATCCAGGTTATGGCAGCGCCACATAAACAGTCGTCACCGGGCCTGTGTGCTTACGATGCTGACAGAGAGCCATTTCTGGTTGCTAAGATGCCGACTAACCCACCGGGCATTCTGCACTCCACAGTCAAGTACATCTGAGTGTTTTTCTTAAGAAACTTCTCTGCATTTGATAATGAATAAGAATTAAATATGAAGGTTTTCTACTCTTACTTCATCTATTCCCAACAAAATCAGTTCCTCAGTTTTCAGGGAAGTGTGAAACCATGAACACTGTCGTCACCAGTTACTTTTAGCTAGATTCATTCTAAATCCTCTTTCAATGGGTGGACATACAGAAACATGTCCCCTAAGCTGTTCTGGTGACTGTCCACGCTACACAGAGATAAACAACAGTAGCTGTTCAACCTCTGTGCTGGCTGCATGACCCACCCTGGCCCTCCCCACTGGCCAGCGCACAATTGGGGACAAGTGGCCAGTCACAGAGCATGTACTCAGCTAACATTTTATAACCAAAGACTGGATCTTCTTTCAGTGAAGATGGTGCAGGAGTGTAGCCTGGAGGGAGGCAGCTGGCAGAGAAATAGGAAAATGCAGTAACCTCATTTCTCCCTTTAATTATCTTTCCTTCCCTTGACATACTGTCTATTTCTGAAACTATCTCCTTCATTGCTCCAACTGCATTTGATACTGTGGCCCTAGTTCTATTGAGCCATCTAGCTTGGCATCTTGTTCGGTTGAAAACAGTCACACGATGTCATCTAAAACTTGGGGGTTTACTATCAATTAAGTAACGGTGATTATAAAAAGATATATACAGAGGCGAACTCAATAGAGTATGAATTTGATGGGATAGGAGAGGTTAGAATAATAAGAAATGGTGCAAACCTGGGGTATTCACATAAATTTTAGCAGAAATGATAGGCAACTAAATCATAGAGACGGGCTCTTGGGAGTTTTGCATTGATACAGGTTCAACACCTATGATGGCCCCCAGCACCAGGCAGGGCCGTTGGAAGGTGCTCCTCACCATGGCACCAACTCTATCTAAGGGCACAGGTTCCGCGTGAGGTGGCCTTCCATCATCCCTAAATCATCCACCCCCTTTGCTTTCTGGGCCTGATGGAATAGTCACTGTCCCCAGCAATGACCGCTAAGAACCTGGCTCTGCTCTGTTTGAAAATGTTGATTTTTATAAACTTAAATTATATGCCTTTGCAAATGCTCCTCTTCCCTAATGAACAGAATTAATTTGTGTGAACTCCAAAAATATACTTTCTACCTGGGCCCGGCCACTTTCTCAATGGAGTATGTCAATCTAGTTCAATAACATGTTTTATGTTATTGAACCTCATTCCCAACTTTGCTCTTCTTATTAGAACTTAGTGATGAGAACTGCTGGGACCGGTCTTAAGTGAACACAAAAGCAATGTGACAATGGGAGCTCTCAGAAGGTCTAGGCAGCAACACTCAACAGATGGGGTATATATCATGGAAAAATATGTTTCTTTTAATCACTCTAATAGAGCAAATTAGCCCCAGATGCAAAGGCAATATTCCAATCCATTCCTGGATGTCAAAAAAAAAATCTCTGGGTAAAAGCATGGTACAACGCACCATGGGGATTACAGGAAGGCTCACAAAGACCAGAATGTCGATGTCAACTCTGTTGCCCCCACTGACCAGCTCGCTCCTACGAAGACCACTGTGATCTTGGCTCTCCATTTCTCCGTGTTTGCTCTAACAATCTTAACCAGTCGTCCCATCAAAGTTCTATGAGAATTTAAAGTCACTGAGATGTTTTAAAATCTAAGTGATCTTTTAGCAACAGGAAAGAAGAGCATTTCCCGAAGTTATTTGCATTTTTTTTAGAAAAAAAACAAATACAAACTACAGATCATAATAGAGAATCCAAAATACCCATCTCCTTTTTCAGAGTAGCTCCTTCAGAGGAGGCCTGAGCCAAACTCTGCAAGTGAGAGGGTTTGGAGAG